CTGAAAAATGTCTGTCTCACTTGTAAAGAAATTTCACTTCAATTAATTTTTCCACTGATGTTTTGTGCAAAGAACCTTCAGCAGGAAAGAAATGTATTTATTCTTTTGTCCTTTTTTGCTCACAAAAAAATCTTCAGCCTACTCTAAATAAAACCCTGACTCTTTCTTCTTGTTTTGTAATTTCAGTTATGAACACATTTTCCAGAAGATCTATGAAGGGTTTCATATTTAAAAAAAAAATCTGGCAATGTATCTCGACCTGATTTTGGGCACAATAATGTACCACATATACTGAAAAAAGAAAAAACTATGATTTCCTAACACATGGCTGAACTGGAAAGAAAAGACACACACTGACATTGCTTAATGGATTGGTGAGAGCTCTGAGTAGAGCAATAAATGTGAGTTAGAGGCTGGCAGGGTTGATTTATGAGGATTTACCAGAAGAAACATATGTGAATATCACATGGCTGCAGGATGACTAAGAGGTGAGAGACAAAGTGCATCTCTAGGCCTCTGAAGACAATGAACAAACTGCACTTTCCTTTTAGTGCTGCTTTTGCCTTATCATATATTCAACATCAGTAGAATTATATGCTTTCCCTACATACTAGAAGGTGAAGGAGAGGAGCAGGACCACCCAAGCCATGTTGCTATCTGAGAGAAAAGACAAGAGAAGAGCTTATTTTTTATATGTGATGCTTAGAGGCCAAATAAACAGCAACTGAATCTGACTTTGACACTGGTGACAGGACAGATTCCTCAGTGCACCTGAGGACAGCAGCCAAGCCTTTGCATTTGCCACACACACTGCCCTGAAACACCTCATTACAGTTGAGAGAAGAGGAGTAACACAATTATATGTGGAGGACTGGGATTAAATCTGTATACAAACCCTCTGAGTGGTATCTGTACTGGGCAGAATGAAGACTGGGAAAAGATCCCAAGAAGTAGAGAGGCTAAACAGCAGAAACAAGGTAGGAAAGAAAGGTGTGGAGTAGGTACAAACCCGAAAAAAAGAAACCGGAGGGAAGCATAGCTGAAAAAGAAGATGCAGACCCTGGGACAAGAGGCAACTAATAAGGCGGGGGGAATCAGAGAGGGGTTTAACATAGTGATATAGATCTAATAGCCAATTCTTTGGCTCTATACTTCTAAAAGGGTCCTATAATATGTTCATAACACAGGAATGCTAGGAGCAGAAAACCAGAAATAAATATATTGACATGGTATAAGCCAATATCAAGCAGGAGTGAAGTGAATTACAGCAGAGATTTTACCTGAATTAGAAAGTTCATTCATGGCCATTTATGGGTGCATTCGGGATTAATCTAAGATTTGATTAAGTATCTTTAGCAATGAAGGGTCAACCTCCTGAGTTTTCCCCACTTCTACAGGAAGAGTCTAATATCTAAAAATCCCACTTCTCATCAATGTGTACATGGTCTGACTAAAGCATGTCAGTGTACCAAGCACTGTAAAGCTGCAAGAACTTTCAATTAGGTGAAGACTGAACCTAAAAACATGAACCTCATAAGTAAATGCACACACCAACGTTAATCAATTCTTATATAACTTCACGCAGATAAACTCTTATACTGCATTGATTAAATTAGATGAAAACTGCTGATTCAAGACTTCCCTTTATAAGAAATTATCATGGCCCAATGCTGAGTCAATCAGCTATATTGTAGAAATTCTACTAAAACATCTGGAATTAGTCAGGGTGAAGAATTAGGTAGGGTCAGGAATTTTAGTTACCCTCAGCAGGGTAGGATTGAGCAAGTTAAGAATGCCCACAAACAAACTGAGAGCATGTCCTAGAACTTACGATGTTGCGGAGGATTATGGCATACTTCAGGCGCTATTCTTCCTGGAAAAACCACATATAAGTATTTGAAATAAAGAAAAGAAATGAAATACACTTCAATTCACCTAGTGGACAAGCAATCCTGTCAATAGCTCCGAGAGTCAACCTCATGTTCCATTTTCATCCTGGCTGGGTCCCCTGAATTGTACCTTCCCAGAATGAAGTCCCTTTCTACATTTCAGTCCCCTGGGGCTTCAATTTTACATAGTTCCCTGGAGCAAAAATTTACACCTACTATTGATCTGAGGGCTCTTCCACAGTGTAATCTACTGAAGCATAAACTGGAAAAATATTGGCAGCATTCTTTTCTGCTTCAGTAGCTTAACAATACACAAATGAATACCCTCTCATGGGTATATTTTCAACCAAATATCACCAGAATAATACCCAACAGTTATGTGATTGTTGTTATTTAATACAATATACTAAATTTTCTGCTTTTGCAAACAGATTACACAAAAGTTATCAGCACTGGTAATTAATTTCTCCTGAACTCAGGAAAGTTTCCTTACTGTATTACTTAACTGATTTCAAACATGATGGTTTGGGGCTAGTTAAATTCACATCTGTAACTAAAATCTATGTCTGTGTGCTGGAAAACCTCTGATCAGAAATTATTTGGTACATCTGAAAGTTCCACCTGTACCGATCAACGTCTTCTCTGGCAAGGCAGTGAATCGATAGGGTTTCAGGATATGCCATGCTCATGGGGAAAAGTCAGACTTCTGCTATTTGCCTGAAGAACTACATCTTCATAACCTTGCTGAACTTTGCTGGTCAGATGATAAATGCAAACAGGATCAGGAGTGAACTCTTCTGCCAACAAACCTCATGTGAGCAAATAGTGAGCTGGAAAATACAGCAACACAACTTCCCTTCCCTTTCCCTTCCGTGTGCTGGACCCTTCCCAAAGTCAACCCTCACCAAAGGCGTTCCTGTAACATCACCTCAGCGATTCCCTGAAGAGCAATTAAACCATCCCAAGCTGCCAGCTGTGCTGCCGATCAAGCTAACAACCAAGCAGAAAGACAAGAAGGCGAGGCAGACTTGGATCTTCCATTCTTGCCCCAGGCAGGGTGGCTGCCTTCTGGATTGCCAGAAAAGGGGAGGGCTCCACAGCCATGAAAGCTAGCGTGGAAATTGACAATTGGGTGCTTAATTCCCTGAGGTTCATCTATAGCCTTTCTTTGTGGTTATCAGAAGTATGCCTGCAACAAGAGGAACATGAGCAAAGGCACATAATGACATGCAAGCAGGGCTTCCTCAAGAGACGTCATTTAACCTTGACCTGGAAATGCAGCTCAGATGGTCACTCTGGTCCTATATGAACAAAGAGGCCTTCCCTCCTGCAAAGGGGGTCTGTAGCAGCTGCAGAAAAAGATATGAGAGCACTAGGTGTGTGCTGCTGCTCATTGCTTCATTGCAATTATTGCTGGACCCGGTTTTTGTAAGTTTTGATTCTGGCTTTGTAAGTGACATGTTTGATGAGGAAAACCTTTCATTGACATACACAAATCATACACAAATAGAAGTGTTCCTTCATGTCTGGGACATAAATCACAGTTGAGACAGTGCTGTGCACAAAGCCACAATGACTTAAGTCTTCAGATCACTGCAGTTCCTGAGCCAGCCCGTAGGGCATAGCTCAGGGAAGATCCCAATCAAAGGGAGCAGAGAAATTATGCACTCTTTGAGCTTGTCTAACCAAGATCAGGAAGCAACCAACCACCCCCTCCCATAGCAAATACAGCCTTCCCTCCAGCTCAAGTGACTGATATCTTCCACACTGTAGCTCACTCTGAGCCGAGTTTATACTTCCCTGAATTTACACAGTGAATTAATTCAGGGAATGTACAGTTTCCTACAGTCTTAAAGCCAACCTTTCACAAGTTTTCCTTTGTTGCTTCTAGTGTCAAAATTTTGATGGGGAAGTTTAAAGTGCCCCCAAAACCGAGGTGGTTTTTATAACAACAAATCAAAAACAAAAAGGCTGTAGTTACAATTCCTAGGCTCAGTCAGTCTGCAGGGTAGCACTTCATCGCAGAATACTACATTTAAGGACATATCTGGCTTTAGTTTTAAACTGCTTTTTGGAGTGCATCTTATTAGAGATGAAACTGAGAAAGGCACTTTTCTGTAAATACCCCCCCTTGTAAAATGTGCCCCCTTAGCCATTTTTGGGGGGAACTGCAAGCAGGGCATAACTATGTGTTTTCAGCATAGTTATGTCCTCACTGAACATTCAGAGTTTTCTATCCTCACCATCTGAACCAATGGAATTGCATCATGATGCTACATATAACTAATAGAGATTATCCTGACAATAATTCAGACTGAGAGCAGCAGACATTACCATCACTCTGGAGTGGCTTTGTGATATTGTCACATAGGCAAGATCAATGGTGTGTGTGTTTGTGTTTGATCTTACTAGGCTGAGATCACATAAACAGAAAAAACATAGTTTGGAAAACAGTGGCATCAAAGCAGCAGCTGATCAGACTTGCAAACAATGAATGTGGTGACCAGTGGAGGTTACAGACAAGATTTCAAGGGCCTCAGAAGTCCTATTTACACAGCACAAATATGTACTTGCAAACATTTGATGCAGCAATGTATTTTATGAACATATGGACTCTGCATGTAATGTACACAGGTAACAATTCTGCACTAGTTCCCTGTATATCATGGCAGTCTAAAGCAGGAAAGTGCATCTGCTTGACATCACCACCAAACAAGCAGATCATTCATCCAACAAGCTTTCTGCTAACAAACATGGACAATTATCTTATTCTTTCTCAGACTCTCCCTAATTAGTTTATTTGCTTCAATTAAGTGCCAAAATGTTGAACTGTTAGCCGACGGTGTCAATGTGAAAATTTCAGGGCATTCCATATCATTAAAGGCAAGCTGTTCATTTTCTCCATCATTCCACATGCATTCCATGTGTGCAAACAGAAGGGAAAACAATCCAACAAAAGCTACCTAAACATGCAGTTCAGTCAGTTATGAAAACACTAGCAAATGCCTCACACCAAGAGGAATACATGAAGCACACTGCATACTTTCTTTCCTACTAGTCGTTAAAGGCCAAATTATGAGCCCAGAACAGCCCTTAGGTGTATAGTGAATCAGATACATACTATTGATCACATAGCCCAAATACAGTCAGCCCATTGTGCTTTGGAACCCAGTGCTTTGAGTGATTTCCTACCTGGTGCTGCCTGGATCTCAGACACTCCGCCAACTACAATGAGAGACTCAATGATCTTCACATGATGCTCACTATTCACCTCCGTGCTATGAAGACAAGAACATATTAGTCAGTTTTTTACTTGTTCAGTATTGCTTTGATAACAGATACTGTGCATGTACGATCTTCAAACTTTGGACATGGTAAGACATAGCCAGCCCCGAATCTGTGCAAATTTAGATATTTTTGAGGGCCCTAGTACTGCAACACAGCTTTATGGACCATCAAGTGCTGTTCACAAAAGCAATGCTAACAATATTTTAGCATTTACAAGATTTAACCATTAATGGAGCACTATGGTTACTGTTGAGGCTATTTACTTACTTATATTTATTTTTACTGCATTTATATAGTATCTTTTCATATATCATGAATGATATATTCATATAGTATCTTTCTGTCAGAACAATCAAGCTTATTTACATGTTATAATAATGCCCCTACTGACATGGTACCAAAGGAAAAAGAAAACAGGAGGAAAGATTGAAAAAAACACTATAGACTCTTTCCATATTATTACTTAATAGCTCTGTTCAGATATCATTATAATCCATGATGGCTTACCCTGATAGCATGTTGTGTTATCTGAATATGACAAACTGGGAAAAAAACGCTTTATAACTATGGGTTATACATCTATCTTATTTCAACAATTAACTGCAGGTGTAGATGACATGCTAAACTGGAATTAATCTCAATTGGAAGCAGAAGCTTCTGATCCTCTCCTCCCAGTGATGTCAGAGGGAATGAGGGCACTTGAGTGTCCAAGAGAAGGGCTCATTCTTGTAATGCTAAAACAATGTTTAGTGTCATCCAAATGTAGAGAGAGAAGACAGGTGTCCTGCTATTAGCAGTTCCAGGACAGTAATCCCAATATGGGCCACTGGATCAGAGGAAGAGTCTGTAGTGTAACCTTAACCTTCCCAACCCACAGCAATTCCATCTCAGTGGGCAAGGAGGGGAGATTCAAAGTTCTCCATCCCTGCACACTGAGATATGGGTGGGGGGGTGGGGAGGGGAAGAGTAGTTTGCATGACCAAACTTCCCACTGTAGCTTTTAAAAGTCATGATAGGGCACAGCACATGCTAGTTGCTATTTTGAATATTCAGTGCCCAACTGCAGCTTGTCATGCTGGGCAGACCTGGGGATCATGGATTATGGGAATATTAAATTACCCAAGGTGTGTTTGCTGGGTTGTATAAATACCACTCAGCTTAAACAACCCACATTGGGCTGATTAGATCATGCAAACCAGCTCAAGGAATGTCTGTTGGTCCCAACACAGCATTGCATCTGCAGGCAGGATCCAAAAGGTTTCCTACCACTGCCCTAAAATCCTGGTGCCAAGCAAATAATAAAAACAGTTTTGCAATCTAAAATGTAAGTGGCTTTCACTTAAGCTATTTTCCAAAACTAGATTAAGTTTGAAGCTTTTTGCTATTGTGGAGAAACAAGAGTATAATTTTATAAGCTCTTGTTTAAAATGAAGTTCCAGTTTGCTCATGGAGAAGAGGGAAATGCTTCAGGTATATAGTGAAGACTAGTACATGGTCCAACAGTCTTACCTTGATGAGGACTGTTTAAAGAGTACTTCACTAAACGCCTCTCCAAGCATCCTTGGTGTGAGATGATTCTTGCTGCCATTCTGGCACAGTTTACAGAAATGTTTGGTCAGATGTTGCAGCAGCAGTCGGTGCCACTGAGGAAAGCGAGGAGATTCCAAAATTATCTTTATTTGTTGACCACACTCCTCCAGGGTCTGCATTTCTGCAGGAAAGATGGAAGGTGGGAGAGAAAAAAAGCAAGAGGTTAAATACTGGCAAATCTTCAAAAGAAGTGTTCCCTTTAAATGAATAATGTGCAATGCTAGAATCTCAACCCTTGCTTGGCTTCCTCAGCCTTCCTCTTCAAGAAAACTTCAGAATGCTGTGTCTTGGCTCAAGGGCATTTGGGTAGCTTATCTTGAGGGTTGACATGTACCTGACATCTGCCATAGAGAAGCATTCTAAACCAAAAGTATGACAGTGTCTTTGCATATTTACAAATTAGAGTAAAGGTTACCAAACAAGTTTATATCCAGTGTGAATGTAGGAGCGTGAAATGTAATGGCATGTTTATGTATTGCCTTCATGATGGAAACATGCATCAGAAAACTAAGGAGATGTGCTCATTCCTACTCTCTTTCTGTGTTTTTAATACTGCAGTTTATTTCATATTGGTTAATACAAATTATCTTAATAAAAAAATTTAAGGTATCTCAAAAGCATGAATCATACTGTTTGAAGAGTGTTGCTTACTTTTCTGATAATTCATAAATTTGACCCAATTTTCAACAAACTTGTATCTTCCTTCTTTCTTACATGTATATATAAACATGTCTTCAATGTGTTATAATGTGTTTAAATCTTAAACCATTTTAGAGAATAATCCAGTGGTCCCTGGATGACTTTCGGATGGGTCAGAGAATAAATGCTGTGACCTTGGAAGTGGGAGTCAGATTGACTCTCAACCCCTTGCAGCTGACAAGGTAAGAACTGTATCAGCGTCTTTCTAAAGGGTGGAAAATCAACCTCAGAGAGAGGGGGAGGGGGTATTTCAATAGGCAGAAAGGGGAGGAAACCAGAAAAGCCAAGTTATGGTTTATTCTAGACCTGCTCCACACTCCTTGCCTCTACTCTGAAATGCCTCACTACGTGGGATGAAATGCCTGTCAAGTGAACAACTTAAAAAATCAGAGGTTAGGGAAGCAAATTATATCACATCCCTTTTGTGCTTGCTATAAAATTCCCGGTTATCCTGTTTTTGCTAGAATAATAGCTGCCTCCTCCATCAAGTTGTGGAATTGTGGAAACAACCAAACCTATTAAACAAAGTAGCAGAGGAAAGCCTCTTCTCTTGGGACTTGCATAGGGGACAAAGTGTGGACATGACTGTGTGGGGAAACATCAAGTTTATTCCCGGAGTGGACCAGATACTCTCTCTTAAGTCTTCCCTGGGAATTTCCAAATTTTACAAGGTCTGCAGTGCACCCTATGCATGCCTGCTTGGAAATAAGTCCTAGTGAGTTCAGGTCAGTTAAATAAAGGCAACAGTGTCTCATGGCACAATCCAGACTAGCAGCTTTATTATGGCACACATTTTTGAGGATTAAAATTCACTATGGCACACAAGTCTGTACAGTTAGGGTGCAAGTATCTATGGGATGGGTAATAAACACATGGACAGACAGACAAATTGAGTTTACCCATATAAAATCAAGTTAATGTTTCTGTACAGCAAGCTAAAGTAGCTTTTCATCCCACTGATGTAGAATTTTAAAGAAAAATACCCGACTTTTTGCTTTTGAGCAATTGCCCTTATGAAACCCATAATTCCTTTTCAAGTTAGAACTTTTTGACATTATGAAAATCATGCTAGATCTTATGGTCACTCCCTACTATTCTGGATATTTTGTTATGCTCAGCATTTGGTTGACTGCTATATATGGCTCAGAAGGGATGACCACCATCTGGATCCTTGGGGCCAATCCATTCTTCAGGCCAGGTCCTAGGACTCCCTATTTTGCTGCACAACGGGACCCTTCCCACTAGTAGTCTTGCTCTATAGAAATGTCATAGCAGCTGACAATACACGTTTTACTTTTATAAAGACGCACATGTGAGGCACTGTGACTATATTATATACACATTTCAAATAGATATAACATTCAAGAGTGAAAAATATCTGCCTATTTTTTTAAAGTTTTTTTCTTAATTAGCAGGGTAATTCTATAATGTTTATTCAGACGTAATTGACATTAAATTTAATGGAGTTTACTTCCCAGAAGTATGTTCAAAATTGCAGCCAAAAATGCATTGATGTGGCTAGAACTAGTCCATGGACTCCCAAGCAGCCATCCCTATTTTAAAGGGTTTGGGATCACTTCTTTGATTAGCCACAGGTAACCCTGCAAAAGTCACAGGTTCTACCCTAGCTCTTCCAGCCTTGCAGGGTTTGTGAGAAAACATACTAATGAGTGCAATATGCCTGTCATGGGAGAGTAGAAATGGGCTTATTGCTGTAGATTTGCTCTCTTTATGGGAAATTTATTTGCTCTGGACTTGACACATGGAGCAGTATCTACTGGTAACATTTGCTAGTGGGACCCGCATCTAGTGCAACAGAAATTCAGCAGATCCTTATGCAAGCAGAAATGAACAAAAAAGCTGGTTTCCAGAATGGGGCAGAGTAGTGAACATTGCAGAAGAGAATTTTGCTGACATGTCTCATTCCAGAAAAGGCGTTTTTGCTCACTTCCAGGGTTGCTTTAGGAACTGCTAGTGGTGGTCCAACTTGTGCAACAGAAACCGTGGGAGTGCAGAGATATGTGTGTTATCATCTTAAACAGAGAAACAACTTCCTCTAAATTCAACTGAGTCTTCCCACCTATTTAGGATTCTATCCAAAAGTTTATAATATTATTGCCAACATGAAAGGATCCTGAGAAAGGACCTTCTGTGAAACAGGGACAGTCTTTCCTTGTAAAGAGTCTTCTTAAGCATCTTTCCTTGGCTGGATGTGTTCTGACCCTCACAGCAGGAAGACTACATTGGGCTGCTGGTACCTGTCCCTTAAAAAGTCTCATCTTGATAAGGTTTATTCGGCAACCACTGACTCTACTACATCTGCAGCATGAACGGCTGATGATAATAATTAGCAAGCAGAATTTGATGGTATGGCACTACAGATCGTTAACAAGGCTGCTGGGATGTGAAATGGGCTGGGCTATGCATCGTTAATGAGGCAATGGGGAAAGGCTTCTGACCCAAGGGCCCATCAAACTAGACTGTTGGGAGAAGGTGGGCAGCAGCAGAACTACACAAAACAGAGCTGTAATTAAGAGCAGGCAGAAAAAGAGAGTATCAAATCAAAGATGAATATAGTTTGGCACTGGGGAGTACATTGGCTCCAGCCTCAGGAAATCTGGGTTATTATGGCTCCCTAAATGCCTGTGAGGGAGGATGAAGAGTTTTTGCAATATGATGATGCAGTGAAGGCCTGGAACCAAGTTGGCATAAGTTTTTCCAGCCAATTACCTAGCTGGTAAAATTCTACCAAAAGCCAGTCTTGGACTTAAAAGTATCTTTCATACTTTAATGCCACATATCAGCTTCTAAGAACCAGTATGATTCCATACTGGTGCTGTTTGTACCAAACTATTCAGTGTAATAACTTTGTCTTTGCTATACACAGATCTTGTATTTAAAACACAGATTCCTCCTAGTGTTCATGTGAAGGAATGCCAAGATAAAGGTTTACTATACTTTCAAGCCATAAAATGATAGGTCCCCTCTAGTGGATATGAGTTATTGTACTATGTGTCATAGCCCTTTAGTTTCTGGGGTTTTAACAATAGGTGCTTCCAAACTGAAGACTCTGATAGCTAACAATCAAAAGTCACTGTGCAGCTAATTCCATCTTTTCTTCCTCAACAAATCTTTTTTTCAGGTATGAAAAAGGAGAAGTGTTAGGAAAACAGGAAACCACTACAAATTGAGGATAAAGAGGTAAATGAGGTTGTGCAATTGCACAACACAAAGCTTGTCTGGAAGCACCCAATGATGCTTGATGAGTGCTCGATTAGCAGTGACTGCAGAAGTTCTTGCATCTTTAAATATGAACCTCTGGTGTTTCCGCTCAAAGAGCAGACTTGGAAAAGCTCAGTAGCAGATTGACCAACCCCTACATAGAGACAGCAGCAAGGGTTCTGACATTATACAGCTACAAGTAAGCCAATCATATCCTACTGATCATGGCTTGCGAATACTATCGAAGAAAAGTGGATTTGCACAGTTGAGCATTACAACAAGATCAAAATTCAGTGTCACAACTTTGGCATGGGCTATACTGTCTCTGTTAAGTCCTGGAAGAACATGAGGAGAAACAGGCTGAATTGGACCAGAGTCCATATAGTTCATCATTTTGTTCACACAGTGGCCAACCAACTGCCCACAGAAAACCTGCAAGCAGGACATGAGTGGAATAGTATTCCCCTTCCCAGTTTCCCCAGCAATGGATGTATGTAGCCATATTGTCTCTGAAACATTAGGACTACTGGCTACTGACAGCCTTCTCCTCTAAGAATTTCTTCAGTTCTTCCTTGTGGTCTCTGTGCATCACACATACGGGCTTTGTGCCTGCATAGAGCCTATTATCTGGAAGTGAAGCATTCATGTGGGCAGGAGCCCCTCCCCTTCCTGTTCCCAGGTAGCATGGGGAGAGGCTGTTGCCATCCCCTCCATTCCTTTTCGAATGTCATCATGCTTAGATCGGGAGTCAATTTGCTTCTTTCCACTTAAGTATATAGCATTCTTTTTTCTCATTTTCTTTGCTTTGGTTAAAACAAACCTCTTTCCACTCCACTCTTTGACACCCATTTTCACTCTTTACTATAAAAAAACTACCAAAAAATATTTTCTACCCACTTTCCTATCCACCAGTCTTTGTGTGCTCTCCAAGGTTGCCTGTGTCTCTCCCTTTTCTTCTTCTTTCTGCCTCCCACACCTTCTGCAATAGCATCTGCTGCAGCTTTAGGTGATGTGCTGCTTGTGATCGCAAGCTACCTCCATCCAGTGGCCATTCCTCTGCCTCCTGTGCCAGATTCTTCCAAGAAGGGACAGGATTACTCCTCTATCTCCATGGTGATCAGTCCTTCAGCCAGGCTGGGGCAACCACAACAAAGCCATTTTCCAAGCGACACACAGCCAGAAAGGCATCAAAGCACTCAA